CCATGGGTATTGAAAGAGTGTGCAGGAGCACTTTGCTTGCCACTCTCCATAGTGTATAATAGGTCACTGGAAACGGGAGACCTACCAGAAATATGGAAGACTGCTAATGTAGTACCAATATACAAAAAGGGTGACAGACAAGAGGCACTGAACTACAGGCCAGTGTCCTTAACTTGTATACCATGCAAGGTGATGGAGAAGATTGTGAGAAAAGACCTAGTAACACACTTGGAGAGAAGAGACTTCGTGACAACCCATCAACATGGGTTCAGGGAGGGTAAATTTTGCCTTACAGGCTTGTTAGAATTCTACGATCCGGTGACAAAGATTAAGCAAGAAAGAGAAGGATGGGCGGACTGCATTTTTTTGGACTGTCGGAAAGCCTTTGACACAGTACCCCATGAAAGGTTGATGCATAAGCTGGAGAAACAGGCAGGAGTAACTGGTAAGGCGCTCCAGTGGATAAGGGAGTACCTAAGCAATAGGAAGCAGAGAGTTACAGTGAGGGGTGAGACCTCAGAATGGCGTGAAGTCACCAGTGGAGTCCCACAGGGCTCTGTACTCGGACCTATCCTGTTTCTGATATACGTAAATGATCTCTCAGAGGGTATAGACTCATTCCTCACAATGTTTGCTGACGACGCCAAAATTATGAGAAGGATTAAGACAGAGGAGGACAGCTTGAGGCTTCAAGAAGACCTGGACAAGCTGCAGGAATGGTCGAACAAATGGCTATTAGAGTTTAACCCAAGGAAATGTAATGTAATGAAGATAGGGGTAGGAAGCAGGAGACCAGAAAGAAGGTATCATTTGGGAGATGAAATACTTCAAGAGTCAGAGAGAGAGAGAAAGACCTGGGGGTTGATATCACGCCAGATCTGTCCCCTGAAGCTCATATCAAGAGGATAACATCAGCAGCATATGCCAGGTTGGCTAACATAAGAACGGCCTTTAGAAACTTGTGTAAGGAATCTTTCAGAACATTATATAACACATATGTCAGACCAATCCTGGAGTATGCGGCTCCAGCATGGAGTCCGTATCTAGTCATGCATAAGACTAAACTGGAAAAGGTTCAAAGGTTTTCCACCAGACTAGTACCTGAGCTGAGAGGTATGAGCTACGAGGAGAGACTACGGGAATTAAACCTCACTTCGTTGGAAGACAGAAGAGTTAGGGGGGACATGATCACCACATTCAAGATTCTCCAGGGAATCGACAGGGTTGATAAAGATAGGCTATTTAACACAAGGAGCACACACACTAGGGGACACAGGTGGAAACTGAGTGCCCAAATGAGCCACAGAGATATTAGAAAAAACTTTTTTAGTGTCAGAGTGGTTGACAAATGGAATGCATTAGGGGGTGATGTGGTGGAGGCTGACTCCATACACAGTTTCAAGTGTAGATATGAAAGAGTCCAATAGGCTCAGGAACCTGTACACCTGTTGATTGACGGTTGAGAGGCGGGACCAAAGAGCCAAAGCTCAGCCCCCGCAAGCACAACTAGGTCAGTACAACTAGGTGAGTACTGTCTGTATAGGTCTGTACTCATGCACCTTCACACTGTCTGTACAGGTCTGTACTCATGTACCTTCACACGGTCTGTACAGGTCTGTACTCATGTACCTTCACACTGTCTGTACAGGTCTGTACTCATGTACCTTCACACTGTCTGTATAGGTCTGTACATATGTACCTTCACACTGTCTGTACACAGTACAGGTCTGTACTCATGTCAGTACATCTGCATCTTCACACTGTTACAGGGACACTCACACTTCAGAAATCGTTCAGGACCCTGAATACCACTTATGTCAGACTAATCCTGGAATATGCAGCTCCAGCCTGGAATCCGTACCTAATTAAACACAAGACAAAGTTAGAGAAGATTCAGCGGTATGCCACCAGGCTCGTCCCGGAACTGAAAGGAATGAGCTACGAGGAAAGACTAAAGGAGCTGAACCTCACTTCCAAGGAAAACAGAAGAGTAAGGGGAGACTTGATAACCTCCTACAAAATTCTCATGGGAATTGACCGGGTGGACAAAGACAAACTATTCAGCACGGGTGGAACACGAACAAGGGGACACAGGTGGAAACTTAGTACCCAGATGAGCCACAAAGACATAGAAAGATTTTTTCAGTGTCAGAGAAATTAATAAATGGAATGCACTAGGAAGTGATGTGGTGGAGGCTGACTCCATACACAGTTTCAAATGTAGATGTGATAGAGCCCAGTAGGCTCAGGAATCTGTACACCAGTTGATTGACAGTTGAGAGGCGGGACCAAAGAGACGAAGCACAACCCCGGCAAGCGCAACTAGGTGAGTAGGTGAGTACTGTACAGGTGTGTACACATGCACCTTCACACTGTCTATACACTTACCACACCTGTACTCAACGTTTACAGGTCAATGGCTGCACATGTACCACATCTGCACACAGCCTATACAGGCCTATGAGTGTATATATTCCTCACCTGTACACAGCCAGTACAGGTGCAAAATATCGCGCCAGGATCAGGACGAGAGTGATCCCAGAGTGCTACAACTGTGACTGTGGGCACCAGTCTGTGATCCCAGAGTGCTACAACTGTGACTGTGGGCACCAGTCTGTGATCCCAGAGTGCTACAACTGTGACTGTGGGCACCAGTCTGTGATCCCAGAGTGCTACAACTGTGACTGTGGGCACCAGTCTGTGATCCCAGAGTGCTACAACTGTGACTGTGGGCACCAGTCTGTGATCCCAGAGTGCTACAACTGTGACTGTGGGCACCAGTCTGTGATCCCAGAGTGCTACAACTGTGACTGTGAGCACCAGTCTGTGGGCTGTGACTGTGACTGTGACTTGGGGCCCAACTGTGACTGTGGGCACCAGTCTGTGATCCCAGAGTGCTACAACTGTGACTGTGAGCACCAGTCTGTGATCCCAGAGTGCTACAACTGTGACTGTGAGCACCAGTCTGTGATCCCAGAGTGCTACAACTGTGACTGTGAGCACCAGTCTGTGATCCCAGAGTGCTACAACTGTGACTGTGGGCACCAGTCTGTGATCCCAGAGTGCTACAACTGTGACTGTGGGCACCAGTCTGTGATCCCAGAGTGCTACAACTGTGACTGTGAGCACCAGTCTGTGATCCCAGAGTGCTACAACTGTGACTGTGGGCACCAGTCTGTGATCCCAGAGTGCTACAACTGTGACTGTCCAGAGTGCTACAACTGTGACTGTGGGCACCAGTCTGTGATCCCAGAGTGCTACAACTGTGACTGTGGGCACCAGTCTGTACTCCCAGAGTGCTACAACTGTGACTGTGGGCACCAGTCTGTGATCCCAGAGTGCTACAACTGTGACTGTGAGCACCAGTCTGTGATCCCAGAGTGCTACAACTGTGACTGTGGGCACCAGTCTGTACTCCCAGAGTGCTACAACTGTGACTGTGGGCACCAGTCTGTACTCCCAGAGTGCTACAACTGTGACTGTGGACACCAGTCTGTACTCCCAGAGTGCTACAACTGTGACTGTGGACACCAGTCTGTGACGCCAGAGTGCCTGTTGTAGTTTGATTGGATTTATTCATAAAATTTTGTGTTATATATTATTCCAGCTTTCTTTTTTTTCAATTGAAGGCTGTTAAGAAGTTGGCCCCCGAGCCCATAAACAGTTAAGAAGTTGGCCCCCGAGCCCATAAACAGTGAAGAAGTTGGCCCCCGAGCCCATAAACAGTGAAGAAGTTGGCCCCCCGAGCCCATAAACAGTTAAGAAGTTGGCTCCCGAGCCCATAAACAGTGAAGAAGTTGGCTCCCGAGCCCATAAACAGTTAAGAAGTTGGCCCCCGAGCCCATAAACAGTTAAGAAGTTGGCTCCCGAGCCCATAAACAGTGAAGAAGTTGGCTCCCGAGCCCATAAACAGTTAAGAAGTTGGCTCCCGAGCCCATAAACAGTGAAGAAGTTGGCCCCCCGAGCCCATAAACAGTTAAGAAGTTGGCTCCCGAGCCCATAAACAGTTAAGAAGTTGGCTCCCGAGCCCATAAACAGTTAAGAAGTTGGCCCCCGAGCCCATAAACAGTTAAGAAGTTGGCTCCCGAGCCCATAAACAGTGAAGAAGTTGGCTCCCGAGCCCATAAACAGTTAAGAAGTTGGCCCCCGAGCCCATAAACAGTTAAGAAGTTGGCCCCCGAGCCCATAAACAGTTAAGAAGTTGGCCCCCGAGCCCATAAACAGTTAAGAAGTTGGCCCCCGAGCCCATAAACAGTTAAGAAGTTGGCCCCCGAGCCCATAAACAGTTAAGAAGTTGGCCCCCGAGCCCATAAACAGTTAAGAAGTTGGCTCCCGAGCCCATAAACAGTGAAGAAGTTGACCCCCGAGCCCATAAAAAGTTAAGAAGTTGGCCCCCGAGACCATAAACTATTAAGAAGTAGGCCCCGAGCCCATAAACAGTTAAGAAGTTGGCCCCCAAGCCCATAAACAGTTAAGAAGATGGCCCCGAGCTCACAAACAATTAAGAGGTTGGTTATCGAGCCCTTAAACAGTTAAGAAGTTGGCCCTCGAGCCAATAAACAATTAAGAAGTTGGCCCCCGAGCCCATAAACAGTGAAGAAGTTGGCCCCCGTGCCCAAAAACAGTTAAGAAGTTGGCCCTCGAGTCAATAAACAATTAAGAAGTTGGTTCACGAGCCCATAAACAGTTAATAAGTTGGCCCCAGGGCCAATAAACAGTTAAAAAGTTGGCCCCTGAACCCATAAACAATTAAGAAGATTACACCCAAGCCCATAAACAGGTAAGAAGTTCCCTTCCAAGCCCAGAAACAGTTAAGAAGTTGGCCCCCGAGCCCATAAACAGTGAAGAAGTTGGCCCCGAGCCCATAAGCAGTTAAGAAGTAGGCTACCAAGCACATAAACAGTTAAGAAGTTGGCCCCCGAGCCCATAAACAGTGAAGAAGTTGGCCCCAAGCCCATAAGCAGTTAAGAAGTAGGCTACCAAGCACATAATCAGTTAAGAAGTTGGCCCCCGAACCCATAAAAAGTGAAGAAGTTGGCCCTCGAACAGCTAAACAGTTAAGAAGTTGGCTCCGAGCCAAAAAACAGTGAAGAAGTTGGCTCCCCGAACCCATAAACAGTGAAGAAGTTGCCCCCGAGCCCATAAACAGTTAAGAAATTGGCACACGAGCCCATAAACAGTTAAGAAGTTGGCCCCCGAACCCATAAACAGTTAAGAAGGTGGCCCTGAGCAAATAAACAGTTAAGAAGTTTGCCCCAAGCCCATAAACAGTAAAGAGGTTGGTCCCCGAGCCCCTAAACAGTTAAGAAGTTGGCCCTCGAGACAATAAACAATTAGGAAGTTTGCCCTTGAGCCCATAAACAGTGAAGAAGTTGGCCCCCGAACAGTTAAACAGTTAAGAAGTTGGCTCACGAGCCCATAAACAGGTAAGAAGTTGGCCACAGAGCCTATAAACAGCTAAGAAGTTGGTCCCTGAACTCATAAACAATTAAGAAGATGACATCCGAGCCCATAAACAGTAAAGAAGTTGGCGCTCCGAGCTCATAAACAGTGAAGAAGTTGGCCCCTGAACCCATAAACAATTTAGAAGTTGGCCCCCGAGCCCGTAAACTGTCAAAAAGTTAGCCCCTAAACCAAAAAACAATTAAGAAGTTGGCCCCGAGCCCTTATACAGTGCAGAAGTTGGCCCCCGAACAGTTAAACAGTTAAAAAGTTGGCCCCCGAGCCCATAAACACTTAAGAAGATGGTCCCCGAACCCAAAAACTATAAAGAAGGTTGCTCCCGGCCCCATAAACAATTAAGAAGTTGGCCACCGAGCTGACAACCAGTTAAAAAGTTGGCTCACGAGCACAAAAACAGTTAAGAAGTTAGCCCCCAAGACCATAAACAGTTAATAAGTTGGCCACAGAGCTTATAAACAGTTAAGAAGTTGGTCCCTGAACTCATAAACAATTAAGAAGATGACATCCGAGCCCATAAACAGTTAAGAAGTTTGCCCCGAGCCCGGAACAGTAATGAAGTTGGCCACGAACCGATAAACAGTAAAGAAGTTGGCGCCCCGAGCTCATAAACAGTGAAGAAGTTGGCTCTGTGCCAATGAACAGTTAAGAAGATGGTCTCGTAGCCCATAAAAAATTAGGAAGTTTGCCCTGAGCCCATAAACTGTGAAGAAGTTGGCCCCCGAGCCCATAAACAGTTAAGAAGATAGTACCCGAGCCCATAAACAATTAAGAAGATGTTGTCCCAGCTCATAAATTATTTAGAAGTCTGCCCCCGAACCCATAAAAAGTTAAGAAGTTGGCCCCCGAGCCCATAAATAGTTAGGAAGTTGGCCCCCTGAGCCCATAAACAGTGAAGAAGTTGGCCCGGAGCCATTGAACAGTTAAGAAGATGGTGCCCTAGCCCATAAACAATTAAGAAATTTGCCCCCGAGCCCATAAACAGTGAAGAAGGTGGCCCCCGAGCCAATAAACAATTAAGAAGATGGTCCCCGAGCCCAAATTCAATAAAGAATTTGGCCTCTGGGCCCATAAACAATTGAGAAGTTGGCCCCCGAGCCCACAAATAGTAATGAATTTGGCCCCCGAGACCATTAAGAGTTAAGAAGTTGGCCCCCGAGCCAATAAACAGTTAAGAAGTTGGCCCCCGAGCCCATAACAGTTCAGAAGTTGGCCCCGAGCCCATAAACAGTTAAGAAGTTTGCCCCGAGCCCATAAACAGTTAGGAAGTTTACCCCCGAGCCCATAAACAGTTAAGAAGTTGGCCCCAGTGCCCATAAACAATTAAGAAGTTGGCCCCTGCGCTATAAACACTTAAGAAGACGGTCCCCAGCCCATAAACTGTTAAGAAGTTGTCCCGGAGCCCGTAAACAGTTAAGAAGTTGGCCCCGAACCCAAAAACAGTGAATAAGTTGGCCCATGAGCCCTTATACAGTGAAGAAGTTGGCCCCCCGAACAGATAACCAGTTAAGAAGTTGGCCCACGAGTCCATAAACAATTAGGAAGTTTGCCCTTGAGCGCATAAACAGTGAAGAAGTTGGCCCCCGAGTCCATAAACACTTAAGAAGATGGTCCCCGAGTCCATAAACTATAAAGAAGGTTGCTCCCGGCCCCATAAACAATTAAGAAGTTGGCCACGGAGCTGACAACCATTTAAGAAGTTGGCTCACGAGCACAAAAACAGTTAAGAAGTTAGCCCCCAAGACCATAAACAGTTAATAAATTGGCCACAGAGCTTATAAACAGTTAAGAAGTTGGTCCCTGAACTCATAAACAACTAAGAAGATGACACCCGAGCCCATAAACAGTTAAGAAGTTTGCTCCGAGCCCAGAAACAGTAAAGAAGTTAGCCACGAGCCAATAAACAGTAAAGAAGTTGGCGCCCCGAGCTCATAAACAGTGAAGAAGTTGGCCCCGAGCCAATGAACAGTTAAGAAGATGGTCTCCTAGCCCTTAAACAATTAAAAAATTTGCCCCCAAGCTCATAAACAGTTAAGAAGATGGTCCCCGAGCCCATAAACAATAAGGAAGTTTGCCCCTGAGCCCATAAACAGTGAAGAAGTTGGCCCCCCGAGCCCATAAACAGTTAAGAAGATAGTACCCGAGCCCATAAACAATTAAGAAGTTGGCCTCCAAACAGTTAAACAGATAAGAAGTTTGCCCCTGAGCCCATAAACAGTTAAGAAGACGGTCTCCGGGCTTAAAAACTTTAAAGAACTTGGCCCCGAGCCAATAAACACTAAAGAAGTTGGCGCCCCGAGCCCATAAACAATTAAGAAATTTGCCCCCCGCCCATAAACAGTTAAGAAGTTGGCCCCTGAGCCCATAAACAGTTAAGAAGTTGGCCCCCGAGCGAATAAACAGTTAAGAAGTTGGCCCCCGAGCTTATAAACAGTTAAGAAGTTGGCCCCAAGCCCATAAACAGTTAAGAAGTTTGTCCCCGAGCCCAAAAACAGTTAAGAAGTTTGCCCCGAGCCCATAAACAGTTAAAAAGTTTGCCCCAAGCCCATAAACAGTTAAGAAGTTTGTCCCCGAGCCCACAAACAGTTAAGAAGTTGGCCCCATTGCCCATTAACAATTAAGAAGACGGCCCCGAAACCATAAAAAGTAAAAAAGTTGTCCCCAGCCCATAAACAGTTAAGAAGTTGTCCCCGAGCCCGTAAACAGTTAAAAAGTTGGCCCCGAACCCAAAAACAGTGAATAAGTTGGCCCCCGAGCCCATAAACAGTGAAGAAGTTGGCCCCGAGCCAATAAACAGTGAAGAAGTTGGCGCCGAGCCCGTAAAAAGTGAAGAAGGTGGCCCCCGAACAATTTAACAGTTAAGAAGTTAACCCCGAGCCCAGAAACAGTAAAGAATTTGGCGCCCCGAGCCCATAAACAGTGAAGAAGTTGGCCCCGAGCTAATAAACAGTTAAGAAGATGGTCCCCTAGCCCACAAACAATTAAGAAATTTGCCCCCGAGCCCATAAACAGTGAAGTTTGCCTCCGAGCCCAAAAACAGTTATGAAGATGGTCACCCAGCCCATAAACAGTAAAAAAGTTGGCCCCCGAGCATTTAAGAA